TTTTTTTTTTTGCTCTTCATTGAATCAACTTTTAAAACGTCTTAAATCAATACATCGTTCAAGTATTATGTACTCTTCAAAAATTCATCAGCTACCTAGATTTTCTCTTTCTGCTTTAAACCAGAGTCCAAACGATTTAATTTTGTTATAGTCTATATCAATGTAAATTTACGGCTGGACCATTATCAGAAACGACCTCTGTACAGATATAAATGACCACCAGAAATTGCGATTGCGGTCAACATATATAAAATTCACTGTTACTCTTCTTAGAAAGAGAGGGCGTTAATTTTTTTTTCTCAGAATTAATGCTCACCCCACATTTCTGACATCTTAATCGATTACCTCAAAACAGCGCTTCGAAAAACTTTGTAATCATGCATATTCTTTTTTGCACTGTATTGCTGTTAATTCTGTTTTTGCGATTTTGTCAGTGTTCCTTTGCCCAACTGAAAGAATTTGGATTCAAACGTTTCCACTATTTTTTCAACGTTAGGACAAGGAATTTTAGTACTTGTATTTTTGTCTTTAGGGAGCCTGGTTCCTTTGTTTATTGGTCTCAAAGCGGGGAAAGAACGTCACGGATGGAAATCTGCTTAGGATTGGGAGCGTATGAACTATTTGAACATTTACTATTTTCTCAAACTTTCTGATATTCATACAGTCAAGTCAAAAAATTATTTTTTTTTTTAAACTGAAGACAAGGCGAAAATGCACAAATATGTGAGGAATATTAAACAGTCACTTCGTCTTACTGATCAGTAGCGTCCGGTTTGCGGCAAATATAAATCTTCTGGAAAGCTAATGTTTTTTTTTTTATTTTTTTGCACTTAATATGTCGAGAGTGCTCTTGTATCCATCTTCAGATTATAGTGTTTTGATGTCGTTGTTAATCTTTGAAAAACTTTCCTGAATTGTTACATCAACTTCATTTATTTCGATCGAGTTCTTGAATGGGGTAGTTTTTCTAATCAATAAGATCTGCCGCACGGTAAATAAACAGTTAGCTAACCTTCTTTAGACTCATTCACCTCTCTCGCTGCTGTTTTCTTCATCACTTTGTTTCCCTCTTATTTATAGAGTTTAGGGACAACAATGCCATCCTAATATTTTTAATAAACTCAGTTTTATTCGTTAGAGATATTTATTCCATAGAAACCGCTTTTTTCTGTGTTTTCTAATATAAAGTTTTTCACTTCCATGGGATCATTTTTCCGTATTGATAGCATTTATATTGGTTCAGTATTACCTGGTTAGTATCTTCTGCTCATTTCTCCCAAAGTAACAGTTTGAAAGTAAGGAGGAGATTATAAGTGAAAAATGTTTATTACATTGAAGGTAACTGGTTCAAGCTTTGACGTCTTGTTATTATATTTATTAAATCAAGGTTCTTATTGAGTCGTCTGTTGAAGTTCATAATATATTTTTGTAACTCTCAATCTTCTTGAAGTTTTCAGGAAGTGCTCGGATGGTGCCGGGGTTTTTGTCACGTTTGATTATACTAACTGCTGGAACATTGTACCCTGCCTACAGAAGCTATAAGGCAGTTCGTTCTAGAGTAAGTCTTACCGCGATTCTTGCGTAAGCCGCAAATTTCCCATCATTTTTTCCTTATTACTTGATATAGGTTAAAAATACTGCTAGGAGTAGAGTCTTATTCGTCAGTCAATAATTTGTAACAAGTGTCCCACAAAGTAAGATCATTAAGAGAGCAGTTTTTTGACTGCTAATGATCCTCGTTCGCCTTCAAATTGATATAGAACTTTTGCGCGTCTCTTGTATACTAATACTGTTTCAGGACGTAAGAGAGTATGTGAAATGGATGATGTATTGGATTGTATTTGCTTTATTTTGCGTCATAGAGACGTTTGCTGATATATTTATCTCTTTCTGGCTACCGTTCTATTACGAATTCAAAATTGTCTTCGTTCTTTGGCTTTTGAGTCCATGGACAAAAGGGGCATCTATTTTGTACAGGAAGGTATGTTCAGTTTTTAAATCTATGCTTGCCAAAACTAAGTGATCTGCTTTTGTACTTTTTGTTTTGATTTGTTATTTTGAGGCATATTATCTCTGCAAGGAGTATTAGGTATTAAAACTTTCAGTCTTGTCATGATTACGGTCTACGTGTTAGTACGTTACACAAACACAAGAAGGAGGTGCTGAACGCATCCTCCTTGATCCTAGGTTTCTGCTGCAAAATTCTGTAGCCTACTTTTTGAAGACAGCGGTACTTTAGTTACTGCTGAGAACAGTTTTTTACTTCTCGTGTTTTGTGGGAAGTCAAGTTTCTGCTTTGGTTTTATAGTTTTGTGAAACAGAGAGCTTTTAATAGTTTTTGGGTTTCTAGATCACAAGCACCTATCTTGTTAATTTGTAGTATCTTTTTTTGAAAACTGTTAGCTTTTAATAAATTAATTTTCTAACAACAAATGGTAAAATTTTTTTTGTAGTGGGTTCACCCGACATTATCGCGCCACGAGAAAGATATAGATACAATGTTGGAACAGGCGAAATCTGAGAGTTATAATCGGGTAAATCATTTTTTAAGTCAATTGCCGAATTAACAAGAAAATTCTCAACTTTACTCGCAGAGTTTTATTAGGGGTTTTGTTTTTCATAGCTAGGGATTTCAGGTGTTGCGCTTAGGAAGTCGGGGTTTACTTTGTGCTCGTGAAATAATTGCTACTGCTGCGCTAAGAGGTCAAGCACAGCTAGTTCAACAGCTTCAACGGTCGTATAGTACCAGCGACATTCCAACGTAAAAACTTGAAACACTTTCACTCTCCCATTCTGGGTCATTTCTGTGTGGGAACAATTTCATCAATTTTGTCTGACTAACTCATTCATTTAATTGAAACACCGATACTTATAATGCTTAACTCTCCTGTGAAGTACTGGGTATTAACATTTTTAGCATCACTGCTTCTACTCAAAAAACACATGAGCCAAAAATCCAAGAAGTTGACGATGAATTCATTGAGAGGGACACTTCCGTAGAAGATGATGATTTAAGTGAAGAGGTATGTGATTTTGTTATATATCTGGTTGCCACTCATTAGGCGATAAATGCTAGTGTTTAACAGACAGCAAATTTTTTGTGGGTTTTCAAAACTTTGTTTTTTGGCGTTTGCAAAGTCTGTAAGTTTGTGTGAAGGAAGTCTTTAGAAAGACAAACATGGAGATGGTTCTTCTGAGCAGGGCGAACTTCGACACGCAAAGCGTGGTAAACGTTCACATGCTGAGGATATTCCCAAGGAGTCTATGTATAATACTATACCTCGGAGAACCCGTCATAATAAGTAGTCATACATGATTCGTTTTCACAAGACAAGCATACGGGCTAATTTTTTTTACTTTCTTATTTTACTATGCGCATTAACATTAAATAATGATGGTTGCAGTTGTTCGGGTACTATTAACAAGCTATAAAATGATAAGACTTAGTCTGATTAGGCTGTCTGTTAAATTTTGGCGACTGTTATATGCGATGCAACTGGTTGTAAATTCGAGTAAGCGATGATTTCATTTGATGGTTACGTATCTTATTCGTATTATTGTGTGACTATTTTGCTTTCCTATGAATCATTGCTATTTGATTCATCAGAATTCGCTTTAGAATTCGATGTAAATTTCGTGATTTCAAGTATTGACATTTTTATGAATATAGTGACCGTGTTTGACTATTCACCTATTTCATTTAGTTTATAGGGTTGATTTTTCATAAGCGCTCTAACTGTAGGTTAGGTATGATGTACCTCGGGAAGTGAAATGCTGATATTTTATTATGGTTGTTAAACTACACCTATTGGTAAGTTTATCTAGTCTTTTAGGTTTTGCTCACTTCTAGATGCTTGTTAGAGGGTTTAACTTTAGTGGTATCTAGGGAATTATCGAACAAAGCAAATTTTGCCGGTTCTGAGTGGTTCTTTTGAAGAACCGTGCACTTCGCATTCGGTGTGCTCATAAACTTATAGGCGGCATGAATTCTATTTAATAACAATTATTTATTTGAGTCTTGTATTCAGTTTTGCTGTTTTGTGTTTTCATGTACTACAGTCTAACAAATTTGTTCATTTTATATATGCAGCATTTGTTGAATAAGTGTGATACTTTTCTTGCATTTTTTTCATTGTTTTTAATGGATTATCTAGACACTTGATGTTTATTGCTCTTAGTGTTGTCTAAAGTAGCTATGAATCCGATACCTCATTGTCCATCCTTTTTTGTTAATATTTCTGACTAAATCATTTTTTGCAGTGTTCGTAAAGGAAGGAATTCTTTTACACTATTTACAGATTTTAGTGAAGCGACAAAGGGCAACGCTCGTTGTGGATTATGATTTTTCCTTTCACTTTTGTTAAGTATATTTGCATTTTGTGCTTGATATCTCAGATTTCTGCCGCAACTTTGTTTTTGCTGTCCTTTTAAGTTTTTCGAAAAGGACGGTTTGCGGTGGTAGTTTGGACAGGTCTTTCTCAAGATTCTTGTAAGCTTATTTTACTGTTTTTCCTGCTCTGCATAATGATTAAATCAGTAAACCCAATTAACAATAGCTTTCACTTTCTCTACTTTTTTTTTTTTTTTGTTTGGAATGAAGTTCACATATTTTGTCTGTAAGAGACACTGAAAGTATGTAGATCACGTGGCAGTGACAGTTGAGTATTTAGTAGTGGTGCTCTTAAAAATAACTAATTCGAGTTAATTGCTGCTTTTCTTTCCGTTCGAGAAAAAAATGCGTAGCAAGTGTTTTGAGATAGTGTGCGTAGTATAACAGCTGATAATTTTAAATTTACTAGCATAGTAAAATCACTGTGATAAAGTTAAATTTTATACACTTTGAGAAGTTTCTCATTTCTTTCTTGCGGTTTGTTTGATGTGGGTAAAATTTGTTTGAGTTCAGGTTTCTGAAGGAAATTTTTTAAGTTTTAGTTAGTACTTTTTTGAGGCTTAGTGCAAAACTAGACCTACATTAGCTTATGTTTGGCTACTCTTAGGTCTCCCGGCACAGGTGAGAATTATGAACTTGATTAACGGTGATATGTTGTGAAGTCTACTTCTTGAAAAAGCGTTATTCGTTGTGCGCTTCTTTTCTTCCAAAACTTCTAGTCTCTTTATCGTGCAGTTTTCTTTTGGCACAGTTGGCAACTGTAAGAATTAGGATTTTTAGTTAGGAAAAGGTTTGATAAGATGCAAAATTAAGTTTGGACAAAAACAAATTGTGTGTTTCCGTGCAATTTTCTCTTGTTCTGTTGTAAAAAAGACGTTCGTTTTTCGCGTCCAGTTTTTCTGAGAGTCGGTAATCTCTAAAGCGTATTGGAATTTCGAAGGGTGTATAAACACTAATACTAGTTTTTTTTCGCAGTACACGATTAATTTGTCACTTCTCCTGAATGACCATCACTTTGTCACCCAGTGTTTGCTGTGACACAGTGAATATAATTTGGAGTGACAGCTGCCAACACCAAATGAATTTAAAAGCAAATCAAAAATCGATAAAGTTGCTCATGTAATAGTTAAATTATACAATGGTATGGTTTTTGGTTTTATCTGGTCCGATTTTTGGACAGAAATTGTGTAATTGATGATAGAAGTCGTTTCTTCCACCTCGTTACAAGCAAAGACTACTGAGGAGGAGGCTGTATGTAGCAGGCTTTTTTAAGAGTAAGGTGTGCTCTTCGACTATAAAAGCTTTACATTTATTGGGAGAAAGTTTTCTACGTTGAGTTGTTTACAAAACAAATTGTCAGGAAGAATGCCATATTGTGGATTGTTAACATTTGATAACGGTATCTTTTACGATATCTTCCAACTAATCCGTATTTCTTCGTAAAAATCAAATAGACGTGTCTTAATTGAATTACAGCTAGTCGCCTTTTATTACTGGCTTATTAAAATAGTTGGCATGCAGGTACTGTTCAGAAATAGTGTAAGAATGACATTGCTGAACAGTGCTATGTCTGTTGATTATCTTGAAGCAACAAGAAAAGTTACGTTAAAGTCACTGAAACTTGTAAGAAACTGTAAAGTCATCAATTGTTTGTGGAGCACACTAGCTGCAGTTGTTACAGAAAAACCTGTGAAAAAAGTCATTCACATTTCCCGACTGTTTCCTGCTCATTCATTAGTAAATCTAAACATTGTTCAAATTATTTTACCATTTTTTAAAGTTGGATTCAATCAAGGTATAATTTGAAGTTACGCTCAATATTTAGCCATCAATGGAAGTAAAAATTAAGTGGCAGATTTTAATTTGTTTCACCGTCTAGTTTTAGGAAAGGAAGTTTTTGTACCAACTGTTTTACGGGTCATTTTTAACAGATGTCTGCGGAAACTAATAGCCAGATTGGAGAAGAAAAATTGCATATTGCCGTATTCGTCAAGAAAAACTGTAACTGCTCAATCATTTCTACTACTTTTGGCCATAAATTTGATGATAACTTCAGTTGACCAAGATTAATTTATCGTGGCAAGAATTCAACACCTCATTTACGTCTCTCATTAATTGTAACGAAAGCCTTTTCTTTAGCGTTTGAGTGAAAATTGATTTTGATGATCAGCAGACTGCAGCAATAAAATTTGAAGAAATCACTTTGAGAATGCCTCAAATTTAAGTACTGCTTGCACTCCATTTGCGTAATGAAGTTTCACACAATAAAAGCGTTATGTTTGGTTCTCTGGGTCTTTTGATGCTCGTAAAAAAACATCTGAACATTCATTCTTTAGACTCTCACTAAATCTACTTATCCTACAGAATACGATAGAGATTTGTTTAAAAAAAGAATAACCACAGCTTGCATTAAATTGTTATAACCAAACATACTGTAATAGATGGTTAACTGCCATACATTTACTTACGGTCCTAAAAAGTCACTTTCCTAGAAAGGTAAATAACATCTTTTTGAATGAAGTTGAGCTAATGGTCCTAAAGCTTTAATCTCATCTTCAAAAACGCTGTGACGAAGCAACGACCGTTAAGATTGCCACAAGTAGACTCAACAGTAAGTCGAATGCTCATTATTGATGCTGTAAAGGCAACAGATTCATATTACGGGTTGTAAAGCGTCCACCTGTTTTCATTGGTATTTTTAGTGTATTGAAGCTAAAACGCTATCGCCCTTTTTTGAGACGAATAACAAAAAAAAATAAAGTTTGTTTTCATCCAGTTTTTCTCTAATATACAATTTTCATTCTCTGATAAGTTATCGTCATCAGTCCATTAAAATATAGTATAAATATCTTGATGCATTGATTGTGAAGATTATTCAAGCATTAAAAAGCATGAAAACCCCATGTTAATTACTGCGGACTTTGCAGGTCTTTCAAATTGGCAGTAAAAGGTGTTAATCAAATGTCACAAAAATTTTTTGTTCAAAATCTTCAACTGAACTCAAACGTTAATCAGGATACTTCAATAAATTTCCTAATTTTTACTGCCTGCTATATAAATAAGGCTCTGGCTATTGACAGTTACAACGTCATTGTCTATCGTCAAAATAGCATAATTAAAATTTACAGGAAATTATTCTGATAAGAAAAGACGAGTTACCACTATACCTCAATGGCCTAACTGATTTAATCAATTCCTTATCTACTCCCTTCTGCTTGCTTTGATATTTCTAGTATCTGGTGTTTTGCTTTTCCGGTTTGTATGACAGTATTCCTGGTTACTGAAACAGTAAACAACTGAGAAGTAAAGGATTAAATCAGAAGACATAAGATCAAGGGAAAGTTAGAAGCCAGTACTCTCCTTGATAGAACAAAAGGTGAAAATGCAAAAATATGAGCCTGTAAAAATGGTCATGACTGATTTTTGAAGAAGCGGGAAAAGGAAGAGCATTTGAGAAATTGTCTCTCAACAAATGACGAATTACAACGATGATCGACACGTCGTAGGGTGCTACCGCAGTTAAGCTTGGTCATCTCGAATCTTGCTTTTTGAATCGTGAACGAAACTTTTTTTTTACACATATTTCTCCACCCCATCTGATTCATCTGTAACAGTTTTAAATTCCTCTATTAACTTCGTGCCAACTTCCAAGTGAACTAGTGCTATATCTAT